TAGAAGACAAGAAAGGGTTTATGTAGGACTGAGTCCCAGAGTAAAAATCTCTTAAGCCAAATGAGGGAGAAGGTAGAGTTTAGGTGTGTGGAGAAATATATTTATTAACTCAGTAAAGAAAATACCCTTTATTTTTCATCAAAGATTGAAGCTAAATTAGTCCACACCCTGGTTCTACTTTAACAATGACATGAAATTAACATCATGCATTTTATATATAGTTATAATACTATTACTATTGTCCATCATTGCAAATTCAGTGAATAATTTTTAAACTATATGTTGAATATTAAATTAAAGGGATGTGACAAACGGTGCCAGTAACTTCAGGTTAAAGAGAACAGGTGACATATGCAATTGGCAGGTTCGTTCGTTTGTATCTCGCACGCTGAACGTGTTTTCAACAAGGTCATCAGGGTCTGTGAACGCCCCCCCCACCCCAATCCAGTGACACTTTTTAGATGCAAGTCTCATGTGTCATTATCTGTTTCTTCAAACACACACACACAGGCAGCTTGTAGCACATCCAGGGCTTGTCCAGGATTGTATGTCAGAGCCCCAAACCTAGTCACATCTCGTCTGTTTGGTTTTGTTTGTTTTTTTTTTTTTGTTTTTTAGTCCAGACAGTCTCACTACTGTGAATGTAACCTCGTGATTCAGCTACTTAATTGATACATGTGGGGTCTCGGTTCTCTGAACGTTTTTAAAGAGGAGTGAGTAATATCTTCACTAAAGTTGCAGTTAAGAAGCCATTTCTATTTAAAGCCTGTGATTTGATGCGTCCAGTTTATTTCACGTCTTATATTACCCCAGCCGTTCATTGCAGCATTTTTTGGTTTTAAATTCCACAGCTAATGAAGGAGCCATAAGGCTGAAAGGCGTTCCAGCTGCGCATATGTAAGCACTGAATGTCGTCAAAACTCATTTATGAAATGGCATTTTCCTCTTGATTACATTAATTCTGTAGCAGAGAGAAAGTTAAACCTGACCAAAAGGGTTATTATCCCCTAAGAAAAATTCAATGCACATTCCCACAGAAGATCTGACGACACATCCTGCAAACCTTCACTAGACATCGATCAAAGGGTAATTGTGCTGCTTTGTTTTTATAATTCATAAAGAAATGTTGGTGGGGAATTATGTCTGCTGTGTGCAAATAGTATTCCTCTCAGAGAAAGTTAGTGGCTTATTCATAATGTCACGCCTCTGCTCCCAGAAGATGCTTCGAAAGAGTTTGTTGTTGTTATTTCTAGCCAGGAAGGCAAAACTGATTGATTCAGCAAACTATAAACTGCAACTACGCATTTGCTTATTACTATAGTTTGTTGTTTTGCATTATTTTATAGTCAGTTTGTGTATTAATGCATCTGTCAGGTCAGGCAACACTGAAGCAGAGTCTGCTGGTTCAGTAATCATACTTTGGAAAGGTGTAAGCAGTCCCAAATTAGCCATAGTTCTCTCTCCGTCTGCCTCAGGGTTGCATGTGAATGTCTGTTAGAAGTTGCAAAGACAGCTCTTTCTATTAAATCCCCTCTTATTCAAATAGTTAACACAGACCATGCTACCAGCTACTGTGCTTTCAACCTTTAACAATAACTGGAGGCTCTTTTCTGATTGTCACATAGTGGGAATGTACATTTATGTTTCGTTTGGGGGGTCACCTCTCTTTCTTTAGTTTCCTTTTTCTGCTTCACAAATTTTAGAAGTTTTTTTTTTTTTAGAATGGCATCTCAGCATCTGTTAACTCCTTCAGCTTTTTTATTAAACACCACTTTTTACAAACCCCTGTGCTATTTGATATAGAGGTGCCAAGAAATACACGCACCTTGATTTGTTTGATTTTATGAAACCCTTGGATCACAAGCCTCTTTCAAATAAATCATCATCACATGGAATATGTAAATACTTTTTCTATACCAGCCATGTGCTGTCACTTTGCATACTGTATATCAGCAGAATTGGTAACCAAAGTTTTTTGAGTATCATTTGAGGCCACTACATTCTCATACTGTATCCGTCCAAACATTGGTTCAGCTTGGTTTTACTTACAGCTAATATAAGTCTGGGTTGCTGTCTCTTCTAACCTGCTGATCACGACTTTATCTCAAGTTCCTCGCTTTTGTCTTTGAGGTAAGTTAATGCTGTTTGTTCAAGCAGTAATACTGTATGTGTCAGTTTACTTTATGACTTTGTAAAGAAATGTAAATTATATTTTAATATGAAGCCAAAAAAAATACATTTAACTGGTGCAGCATTTGTCAAGTCTAAACCGTGACGTGTTTGCCTATATACTGTTCTCTGGCGATCTAGCAGTGAAGACTTTTTGCAGTGTTAAGGGTATAGAGACTCTTTTACAGGAAGTTTCTATACATATTTTATTGATCCTTACTCTGCGTACATCTACCTTATGATTTCTCTAACTGTAAGCATTTAAATACAAGGTGGAGTCAATCACTACTGCTTAATCGAATCACTACACTGGGACTGTGTGCTTATTGGAGAACGAGGACATCAGCTCTTGGACACTGACAAGCCAGTGTTGACACAGCATGTTTGGAAGAGCCATGGCAGTTGTACAGTCAGACTGTGTGAAATTTTATCACCCCTGTCATTGTCTTGGAGGTGTTGTCTAAGCACATTTCAGTAATGTAACTCACCAGCCGCCAGGATGTTCAGCATCTAACTTGTCCAGCAAACCTGCGAATACCGTGTGCGTGTGTCTGTGTGCGAGATGATGGCAGTTCCCTTCATGATGAAGCCTGGGCCTGATAGTTCTGTGTAAGACAGGTGTCAGTAACATTTATGCTTTGCTCAAGGGTCTATAATTTCACCCCGTGTTATGGGGGAAAATTGTTACATCTCACCACTGTACTTTGTGTCACTCATTACTGTTCAGTGTCAAGGATGTGTTTGTGCGCGTGTGTGAGACAGACCGGGTGTGTGCATACCGCCCTGTCTGACCAAACAGTTTTCTTTTTGAACTAAGAATACTAGTTGTACTTGTGAATGGTTTTTCTATTAAGTTCCTAGATTCAATGTTCCTTGCCTTTCTGCAAGTAAAAAATGCTGTATTTATTACATGCCACAGCGTTTATGCAATTGTATAATCCTTTTTTTTTTTTTTGTGTGTTCCTTATCGTCAATGTAAATTGTTGTCAACATTTTTGTGGCGATGGAAAAACTTCTGCTAAGGGAGGTTTTCTGTACTTTTTGGACAATGATATGGATTTGTGGGTAGAATTTTGGAAATTCGTTTCTAAGTGCTTTCAAGTATTTACTTGGCCTTATGTAAATATCTATATGACATTTCAGAAAGGTATGTATAGTAATTCAACCTGAAATTGTTGTAAATAAATTATATATTGTTAAATGGAGGACTTTATCTTTTGCTTGAACAATGAATTTGAGTTGGATGTAAGAATCAATGCCAGTCACCTCCATGTGTTAAGTATGGAGCAGTGGATTCTGACCTTTTCAGCTTGTGACTAACGCACATGCGCATGCTTCAAGCAAAGCAATGTCAGATTAAATATTGTAAACCTGAGTCATTTATAAGATTTTCCACCATATCCAACAGCTTTCTATAGTAAACTTTTCTTGCACAGTAGCTACATGACCTTAATAGAGAAATGTGGTCATGTGACAAGACATGGTACTGTAAGTGGACACTGAAGACAGCTGTGGGATAAGGCTGAACGCATCCAAAACAGCTAGTAAGTGAGCTTCATTAGAGATAAAGACTGGGAACTGGGGTGAGAAATGGCTCTCTCCAGAGATTACAAATCTGCCTACCACCACCTCTGAAGTTCATTAGTTTATTATACATTAGTTACTTATACTATATCTAGTTTGTCATATCCAGGCAGAAATGTGAAAATTTGTGACTGTAGAGAAAGTTGGTGAAACTTTTGACAAGCAATCGTTATCCAGCACTTTGGTGCAGTGCCTCCACTAGTTGCCTAGCAATCTTACAGTGATGACAAAACCCTGGGACAAGATTTAGCACAAATTAAAATGTTTCCATTTGTTTCTCAAACAATTGAGACGTGATATGTTGATGGGGTTTAGTTTTCATAGGTGTAGTCTGTTATTGTTGGTGTACTGGGCTGCTTCCCGTCTTTATGCTAAAGCAAGTAGCCACCTGTATTTACAGTCTAGCACTCATTTAGCTAACACTAAGAAAGCAAATATGCAGATTAAAACAAACAAGTGGAATAATACTTATTTCAAAGTATTTTAATCACTAAATAAAATGGCTACATTAAACAAAATGTTACTTGGTCTATATCAATAACGTATCATTTTATGTGGCCCTCGAAAGCTTAAAATGGGTATGGTTGTCTTAAAAATACAAGTCTATACTAATTGAAAACGTACACTGACTACATCTCCCATAATGCACGTCGATTTCGGGGCCCGCGAAGTATTAGCATCCCGCCAGTAGATGGCGGTGTTTAGCCTTCAGCATTTAACCAGCAACTTCTCGAGAAGTGGAAATGAGAAATGCCAACAATTAATCCCAAAATGTCCAAGAAGAGAACGTAAGGTGGGGAAGCAAATATACGTTTCTGAAAAAGAGAAAACCTGTGTGTCTTTTGTCTCATGACGCAGTGTCGGTGGTGTACTACAACGTGCGTTCGACATTTTGAGACCAAACATGGAGCTAAGTATGCTAAATTTAGCCTCCAAGAAAAACAATAATTTTTCAAAGAATTAAAAGACATACTACAGTTGCAGCAGGAAATGTGGAAAAAGCTACAGCAAAAATTGATATTGTTGAGAAAAAAAATGTGGAATTGAATTTTTCAAATTTATTTTATTGAGGAAAAAAATTGTTGCAATCTGTTAAAGTTCATATTTCTGGTTAAATCATTGTTAATTTTAGACTGTTCAATAAATGTTTATCCTGTTTGGCCCCCAGCTGTGACTGGTTTAATTTTCGGCCCTTGTGTGATTTGAGTTTGACAGCCCTGCTCTAGAGTCTAGTTGTAACTTTTCATTAGTGTGATGTCAGTTTGGACCAGAATATTTTCAGAGATGTGATTAATTCCGAGAACAGTAAGCGGACCGTTAAAAACAAACGGGTTACAAGATACAAGTTAAAATGTGATATATCAGAGTACAGGTCGTGGAGTGAGCGGAACAATGCTTGCATGTACCTGTTTGGGTACATCTCAGGGTGGTTCCTCTTAAAAGTTAAAACAGGAAGCCAAGTTCGGAAATTGATTATGACCCTGTGAATAAAGTTGGCAACAGAGTTGGTCAGAGAGAAGAGTGTGTACGTTCGACAAAGACAGACGAACAGGAAGAACCGGGCTGGGAGGGGACCGACCCGACTGACTGTACTGTAGGGCCAACAATGACTGATTCTTTGACAATTCTCATATCTAATACTATTTATTTTTTATGCAGAAGTGGTGCTTCTGTCCCCTATCTTTTAGATTGTTGAATTATCTTACAATTTATTGAATGATTTAGAAGTATTGTAATAATAAATAATCATTGGGTTAATTTGCCTGAACTTATTTAGTTCGTATCAGACCATAACAACCACAAGAGCCAAGAAAAAAAAAAAAAAAGAGACAACTGCACCAGAAAGCCTACTGTGGTGTTGTTGGGGAGCAGGTGTTTTTCAGGGCAAAGACTGCCAGAACATCAGTTGTCAGAAAATCCTACAGATGGGTTCACTTTTAAAAATCACTTCGGCACAATGTTCTGTCCCACATGGCATTAGTAAATAATTTTATTTAAAACTTAACAGCAGCTATAAAAACACTTAACGGGCCCATTCTGAAGCACTATAAATACAGATTCCACAATGGCTTTAAAGTTCTCTATGGAATAATAACATCATAGTAACATGAGGGACAAACATCTTGTGACTTGTTTCTTTCATTAAAATGACCAATAACTGAAAATTTCAGAGCTTTACGGAAAAAAAAAATGCTACATGATCTAAAGTTACTCGCCGCAGCATGTGCTCTGATTTGCCAAAGTGATGAGTAGCCAGTGTTGCTGTGAGGAGGTGCAGGGCTCCAGTTAAACAGAAATATGGCACCCCCTTTTCTGCTGGATTGGAGCCCCATTGCACTAATAGGCCCTGCAGTAAGACTCAGTGAGTGGGGCCACCACTTTCTCTACACCTAGAACAGGATTAGTGGCAGATCATTCCTGCAATATGTGACATTACTGGAGACTCAATGAAACAGATGACTTGGAGGATACTGACTTGATCTCACTTCAGACTGAAGAGATTAGTAGAGCTGTCAGACTGCTTTCGTAATAATAATGAAATCTAGACAAACTGCATCTGCATTTTTAATGTCCAATCTACAAGTGACTTAAAAGTCAACAAGGCAGCAACATGATATGGAAGAACCCCTTGATTATTTCCAGTTACAGGACACACTTTGTATTACTGGCAGTAACATCTGAACTCTCCTAAAAACACGGTAAATGAGCAGCATGTGACGCTAGCATCAAGCCCCAAATATAGAAAAAGTCTGCAGAGTAGAAAAATAGACCGACTTTAACTAGGTGTGTGGTTGGCAAAGAAAAGTAAAGTGTGTACGAGAGTGCCAGAGGACGGAAAGGGTAAAGAGCTGGGAGAAAAAGAAGTGTTCCTTCCTCCAAAGATGAAGCTCGCTCTCACACTGGAGCAAAGGCATGGCCTTTGCACAGGGGCTTATCCTTCTTCGAGTAGAACGTCTTCCCTTCCAGGTTGATTTGGCAGAGCTTTAAAGAGGAAAGAGACAGAGAAACCGATTGGAAAACCAGGGCAAAGTAGATATCAGACCTCAACACTGCCGATGTAAATTTACACAGATTGCTAATGGCCGGACTGGGTGCAATACTTGACTGTATTTACTTTGTTTTGTTCACAAAATGGGTGAGAGATGGAGAAGGTGATAGACTACAGGTTCAAAGAGAAAGACAGAGATGTTAACTCAAGGTCCAGAGATGGAAGCAGATTTTTCAGGTGGCATTGTGCTGGGACAGCCAGAAGGGATGGGGCAAAGAGAACCCCACAGGAAGTCATATCAATCAAAATGACTTACAGCACAGACGAAGCATGTATCGTGCCAGCTGTAGCCCAAGGCCTCCAGAAACCGATCCCCAGCATCAATCTTAAAGTCACAGCCGTGGCACTTGGTGCCAAACATCTTCTCATAGTCTGGAAGGAGAAAGGTGACGGGAGGAGAGGTGGTGAGCAGCAGCAATAAAGGAGATAACCACCAGAACAAAATAATACAACAAATTCAAAAGAGCTTTTATCGTCCACGAGATCAGGTCAAGCATCCTCAGTAGCCCCCACAATCACCATATGTAGACATCAGTTAACCTGGAGCAGCCAGTGTGAAAGAGGTTTCCATCTCTTAAAGGAACTGGAGGCGTTTCTCCTTGAAGATGAGCAATAGCCCACCACACACACAGACTTAAAAGATGGCAATAAAGATGATGGAGGCCATTTTGAAACCAAACTGTGCCCTTCACCACATTGGGTATTTGATACTTTGCTGTTCGCACTATTTTGCCCACCTTTCGACAGTGCAAGGGAAGGATTAGGATGAGGGGAAACTGCGCCAGATACTTAACTGGATTTGCCAGTCTCTTTCATTACAAGGACTCAGGGGAGAGTGTCAGGTTATAATGCTGCTTCTCAAGAGCGGGAGGGTGAGAGCTGTACAGTCCCTGGAAGATGCTGAGCCAGCAGAATGTTTATCAGAGCTAAAGGCATTATTCAGACTAAGAGTACTCGGGTTCTGGCTTCTCCTCTGATAAAAGCAGCAATCCACATGGAAGGCTCAGTAGTGAGCAAACAGCGTGCTGCCCCACTAACTCATTAACAGCACAATAGAAGAGCACATGCCATTCATTAAATCTGAGAAAGAAACGTAGGAAGAAACTGTAGCTAAAGAGATTACAGCAGATGAAAACATCACACTTGGACTGCGGTATGTGCCAGAAGATTTAGGCTGTGCCCCCCTCCCCCAAGCAACAATACAACAATGTTTTACAAATAGTTTTATTAAAAAAAAAAATATATATA